CAAACCTTGTGAGAATTCTTCTCTGACTTTCATTGGGATGAATGTTGCTTTTCCACTCGGGATGCCTCGGTATGTACTACCAGCATTGCTGGGGTTATACAGGGTGGTATGAGTTCATTTATCCCATCTTCTACCAAACCTTTCACTTTACAATCATGGTTTGATCGCTCCTGTTCTCTTGCCTTTAGGGAGAGAGATAGGGCACATCAAGTTATGAAACTATCTCCTTCTCCTATTACCCACACCTCTTTCATTACTTCTAGCAATCATTGTACGGCTATTCTTCATAGGGCCAAGCAGAATTTTATAAAAAGAAAGATCGCTGTCCTGACTAACTCTTCTTCTAGTAAATCCTTCTGGTCTTTAACCCAAAACATCTGTAACAACTTCTGCACTCCCTCTTTTCCTCGTCTCTTCCGACCTGATAACTCTATAGCCAACTCTTCCGCTGATAAAGTTAATCTCTTTGACACCTTATTCTCCTCTAACTCCACCTTAGACGATTCCAACTCTATCCCTCCAACTCCTGCTAAACCTATGCACTTTCCTATACTCTTCACTCGTAGGGTTGCTGGTGTGTTATCCTGGTTGGATGTGAGTAAGGCGCATGGACCAGACGGAATACCCCCTAGTGTTCTGAGGGAGTGTGCTGAAGTTCTGTCCCCTGTGCTTGTTCGCCTCTTTCACCTTTGCCTCAAAAACCAAACCTTTCCTTCTTCTTGGAAGCCTGCTTCGGTTCAGCCCATCCCGAAGAAGGGTGACCATCCCAATCCCTCTAACTATCACCCCATTGCCCTAACTTCATCCCTCTCTAAGATTTTCGAAACTATCTTAAACTATCATTTTCTCCGTCACCTTGAACTCCATTCTCTTTTGTTGGATCATCAGTGTGGCTTTCGCCAGGCGAGATCTACTGGTAATCTGCTCTCCTACTGCACCCATCTTTGGTCATCCTCTCTCAGGGATTATGGGGAAACTTTCGTCATGTCCCTCGACATCCCCAAAGCATTTGACAGGGTATGGCACAAGTCTTTGCTTTCTAAACTTCCCTCTTATGTTTGCTCTCCCTCACTTTATTTTCTAATCTCTAGCTTCCTTGAGAACCGATCCATGGCAGTTGTTGTTGAGGGATCGATCTCTCGCTCTTTCTCTACCAATAGTGGTGTCCCACAGGGTTCTATTCTTTCACCTACTCTCTTCCTTCTTTTTATCAGTGATTTACTTCACACTACGACTAATTCTATCCATTCTTACGCTGATGGTTCTACTCTTCACTCTTCTTCACATTTTTCCCTTCCCTGTAATTATCAAACTAGATTTGTTTCTAGAGCTGATATTATTACATCTATCAGTGCGGATCTGTGCAGCATCCCCGAATGGGGTGGTAGAAACTTGGTTAAATTCAATAGTAATAAAACTCAGTATTTACCCATTACACTTTCCAAATTAGATGCTCTCCCACCAATTACATTTCAGGATGCTATCATTCTGCCAAATTCTAAAATAGATATGCTAGGCCTCACCATTTCCTCTAATATGTAAAGGAAGCCACACATCCTCAGCATTGTTAAAGCTGCCTCCCGAAAGCTGGGAATGCTGTACAGATGCCGTAGCTACTTCACTCCTGAGCAGTTGCTTCAAGTATATAAGGGATTCATTCGTCCTAACTTGGAGTACTGCTCTCATATCTGGGGTGGCTCTTCTTCTGTCCAACTGTTAGATAGGGTGGAATCAAAGGCATTTCGTCTTATTAACTCTCCTCCTTTAGTTGATAATCTTTCTCCCCTTTCTCTTCACCACAATGTTGCTTCACTCTTTCTCTTTTACAGGTACTTTAACGGACAATGTTCGGTGGATTTGGCATCCTGTGTACCACCAGCAAGGCTATGGACTCGTAACACTCCTCTTGCCCGCGGTGCCCACCGTTTCTCTGTGGATGTCGGTCACACTAGAATAATCCGTTAAAGCATAGCCTTCTTTTCTCACACAGCCAAACTGTGGAATGCTGGTTTTCCGGCATCTTTTTGGTGTAGACTAATATAGTCTAATCTTTTCTTTTTTATTTTTTATTTTACACTTATTTCCCCCAGGACCCATTGTGGGTCGATGACCTGTGCCCGGGTGGGCTATTCTAAAAAAAAAAAAAAATGTTATTCATAAGAGATGATTGCTAGTATAAGTAGGGGAACCTAAATTTTTTTTTTAGACAATTTCTTTTCTAAATGCTGCGGAAAATTAAAACAAATCATCACTGAACTAATTCTGATACAGTGGTCCCTCGGTTGACAAGCACAATCCGTTCTAGAAGGTTACTCGTTAACCGAAACCATTGTTTTAATGGGTTTTTGGGTAATTGGTTCCAGCTCACCAAAAATTGCTTAAATTCAACAAAAAGGGTAGAAAAGTACACTTACTTTGAGGTGTGTATATAGAAGGCTCCTGGATGATGATGATGATGATGATGATGATGATGATGATGATGATGATGATGGGAATTAGAAAGGGGGTGGAGGAGAAGGGAGAAGAGAAGGCATTGGGGTGGAAGAAAAGTCACCCCATAGCGCCATTTCACCCATAAAATTTCAGTTCTTTTGGTGTAATTCAAGATTATTTTCTTTAAATCAACACTGCACTGCATTATATATTGTCAATATGCAAAATAAATGTCAAAATGACCAATAATTTGCTTGGAAACACAGAAAAAAAGTGTTTAGATGAAGAAAGTCTCAAGCAAGATATTACCTCCACTGAAAAGAGCGAGACTAATGCCTGTTTGGTGTTGCCAGGCTGGATGGCACGCCAGCAAACTAGTTTCTTTACCTTCAATTATGTTCAATAATTGTTAAAATTACTAAAAAAATTAATAATAAACTTTTAAAATTATTGAATACTGTAAACTTCATGATATTTACTAAAATGGTAAGGAATATAAGCCCTAGAACCGATTACTATATTGGCGGACTAATACTACACCTGGTGGACCGCCAAATGCAAGCGAAAACATGTTGAGGTCGGCTCGTAAGAAACTCGTTAATCGAGGGATTGCTCGTTAACCGAGATTAAGAATCTTATGGAAGGTAACTCGTTAACCAAAATCTCGTTAACCAAGGCGCTCGTTAACCGAGGGACCACTGTATATGGTACTGGTAACAGCAGGAGCAAACTCAGTTGTCCATCCCTACTAAAATCTAACACAATTCCGTGATTGTTGGTTTTAATTCACCAAAGGCTACATACAGATGCTTCCAGCAACCGATCCATACATACCAACACTTCCAGTAACTGTTACATTACAGTATAATGATTTATACAACATAAAATTAACCAACCTAACCTACTTATCCAAACCTAAATAAATTATGGTACATCATTATTGGGTTAGGTTAGGCTTGGTTCGGTTGGTTCATATCCTGTATATAATTAAGTATAGGGCGAAGTCGCTGGTAAGTATTTGTATGTTAATCAAGAGATCAAGCACAATAAAGCATCAGGAGGAAGTGTTGGATGGATACTATTACAGTACAGTACCTAAAACCTGTACACAGTTCTGTCAACATAAGGGAGAAATCATCTTAAATACGAAACTAGTCAAAAATAATTGGTCTACATGCAAAACTAAAAGAAAGTACCAGTACTACTAGAACAAAAATAAAGCTACTTTTGAAGATATACTGTATCATACTTCACACACACCCAGACCTTTTGTCAAATACGGTATACTGTATATTATTTTAAAACCATAAATGGAAATACAGTACAGTACTGTATTACTCTATATGTACCGGTACTTTAGATGTTAGGCTTATAGAAAGACACAGCTAAAGGAATTACAACTTTCCTCCTTTTTGTTCATCCTTGTTTTATGTTAAGTGTGAATATGGTGCATGACACTTGGACCACTATGTTGGACCATAATGCTCGCCTTCCTCCTTCTGTTGACAATATGTTAAAAAACATGATCTTAATCAACCTACAATATTTAATGCAACCTAAAGACAGTGGCAATTTTGCCATGACTGCCTAAGTTCCTACTAACGCTATTTTACCGTGAGTTCGTTCTGACTGGCTAAATCCATTACCGGCAAACAACATGAGAAATGTATTTGACCACGACTCTGGCGACATTTGGAATTAATTTTGCCGTGAGTCAATCACTGTGTAGCTATAGACAACACACCTAACCATATTTCTGTTGTGCATTGAAACTTATCATTATAAAAGAGGCACAATTTACTAGAACCTGACCTAACCAGCCAAAGAAACCTAAATAACCTCACCTAATTTCCTAGCCGGAAAGAACTTAGCCAATCAGAGCGTACTCACGGTAAAATAGCGTCAGTTGGAATTTAGCTGGTCACAGCAAAATATCCACTTACTAACCTAAAATAGGTAACAAAATAGAACCTTTCAATGCCAGGAAGTTTGATCAGGTGAGGTAGCAAGGTCTGGCTGTTGTATCTTATCTACAATAAATCATTTACATGGCCGAACTAACAGTACAAAAGCTGCCATAAATCGTTGTTATATTTGGTATTGTACAGAATATATTAATACTGTAATGTTGTTATTAATATTATCATTATTTTATAAATAAAATAAAGAGCTAATTCCGTTTTTTCATTTTGTTTATTTAACAGAACCATTAACCCTGTTAACTACGGGAACACTACTTTTAATATTTTATTTGGCTAACATCAGACAATTTTATTCAGCTCAGGGGTTAAGGTTTTTGAAACATTATTGTCTCTTGATATGCACTTAAACAAGTAATGACAGCTTGCCTGACAGCTCTCACACCAAAGAAAAATAGAAGGATGAAAAACATTAGAAAATAAAAAAGTAGGAAAGTTTTAATTCCTCCAGCCATTTATTTCTGTTCATGAGGTAAGAGAAGTTTTCTTCTTTACAAAATTTCCCTAAAGTGGCTCCTTCCCATAAGTCGCACATCTAAAATATTACCTGTGCGATTAACCGTGGCCAATAAATAAAGGCAATCCATACCTTAAGTTCCTCCATTTCCTGTTTCTCTCTAGCCAGTTTCTTCTGCCACTTCCTTTCCTTCCATTCGTCTTTCTGCAGATTCCATAATGCTTTCTTCCTCTCCCTCTTCAACTGGTTTTTGGATTTTTTCGGAACTTCCTCAGATTTATCCGGCTGTGACTCGAGGTTATCACTGGCCGCTTCACATGGAGTTTTTTCTACAACATCTTCTGGTTCTTTCTTATCCTCCACTTTCTCCTTTACCTCCACTGCAGTATCATCAGTCACCACATTATCATTCGACTCACTTCCTTGATTTAACAAACTCTCAGGTTTATCAGCACTGGGAGATGGTTTTTCTGCAACAAGTGTCTCAGAATTCTCGTCATTGGAAGAAGCTACAACACTTAGTTCCTCTTTCTTGCTTGAAACAGAACTTACTTCCCCTTGATTCTGATTAGACATTGTATTAAGATGTCTATTTAGTGAGTTACCAAACGTACTGAGGGACAGAACAGGAGTGACTTGGCCCGTGTGAACAAATACACTGAGGTTTGGGCAACACAAATGATTAACACTAGAAATAAAACCAAAAGAACTGTTCCTGGTAATTGAACGGTTCCTGGTAATTAAACAGTTCCTAATAATAGAACACTGCTGATAAGACACTGATAATATTTTCAAACTGTGACTGGAGGATAAAACTAGACAACGAGTATCAAAGAGACACTTGAAGGCACAAACAACACTTATCTGCCACATATGAGGTTTAAACAAGAACTCACACCTCACAGGGACACCAAACACTTACCAACCACGTGTCTATTATATATGTTCTCGGTAATGTTATAAAATATTAATATTCTCCAAATATTTATGTCATCATCAGAAGCCACTATGATAAGTTTCAGTCATATATAATGTTTAGATAGAGAATAAGAGTTTAAACTGTTGATTCACTATATTGATCAGACAGACGTAAACAAACACATGTGGTCGTCTGGTCTATAGATGTAATGTTGAGGTGTAAACAGTAAATATATACCTAATGTTTCTCTATCTCATTATTACATTGTTATTTAAATTATTAAGTGAATGCAATAGCTAGTGATATGTATTTTTTTTTTTACATATTTCATTGTTATAATACACTTGAGGGGAATTTGAAATATTGTTTTCTAGTTATTCCACACAATTTTTTTATTTCTCCAATTAAACGGTACATGAATGATATTAATGTAAAATGAAATGTGTTAAAACATTTAAATTTATTCACCAATATCAGAGAATCAACTGGTTGTTTCTAATATTTGGTTATTAAAGAATGTAATGCTCCCTCATTAGCCTCATATTTTGTGCTAAATCGCTTGTATCAAGATTGTATCCAAAACAAATATTATATTGTACTACTGTAATGGTTTTCCTATTTTTTTCCCTCAAATTTTAATTGTATACTTGGAAAAGGGAAATGAACCTAAATTAGGGTAGGCAGGTTAAATTATTATGCCATTAACTATTTTATGCTGTTTACTGTGTTGCATAAATGGAATTGTTTTTCCTAATACAGTGAGCACAGACTTTATGACTGTCCTGAGATTGTTTTTGCCTTAGATTTTAATAATGTGTTTTTTATTGTCATGAGGAATTTTGTGTTTTGCATGTTTGGTTTTGCTTTTGTTTATGTCATAGTGATCGTCCTGAGCAAGTTTTCCATGAATGTTTTGTTTTTACTTTAGGTATTTAAGAACGTGTATTGGCGAGTGTTATGCTTTAGTTGATGCTGCACCTAGTTGCTATGGGTATCATTATGTGTTATGTGCATGCTTTATGCCATTCACGTTTATGTAATCAGAATATGAAGCACAAGAAAATAATGTGCTTGTGGTCTTTATGACAATCGATTTTTTTTATTGAATAAAATATTTATAAGTAACTCAAAATAATCTCTTTACTCAGTCCTTAAACGAATAAATTGTCCATTATATAAATATCGGAGTTTTCGCTAAAAATGAATTTTCTATCATAGTATATTCTTAAAAGATAAAGATATCGTTTTCCTTCTTAAGGAAGCTTTGCCACTAGATGGCGGGCCAATCGGAGGCCTCCACGGTTCTCGAATTAGGCAGTGTTTTTATATGGTTTAGTCTTTTGAGTCAAGACAACTTTAAGACACTTTTCTTCGATAAAGTGTCCCTTCCAAATGACCTAAAATTACCTAACCTAACCTCCTAACCGGGACCCCAGGTATATTTAAGACATTTGCGAGGGAAACGTCATAGAAGAAAGTGTCTTAAAATAGTCTAAACCATCGGAAAAACACATTGTTCAACTCGAGAGCCGTGTTTGGTGGAAATACAAATTGACCTAAATAAATAAAGAACTTACCTAGCTACGTTGTCTTCCCAATCTCACCCAGTAGATAGTCAAACAGGGAGGTACTACCGCCTGGGAAGATATTGGAAGCATAATGTATTGTAGTGGAATTCTCCCCTACAAACGCTGTTTGTCGCTGCCTAGCCGACCCCACCAATTCCCCAGTGTATGCCTCGTGGTCTAGGTCAACCAGCGCCGCCATACACCACGGAGCGGGGGTCAACTGCTAAGCCACGCCTACCCCCGCTATTTAAGACCTGACCTCGTGGTGATCTGTCTCTCTTCTACCTACACCAACCAGCCAGCAACACCTCCTCCGCCTGCCTGGCGGTCCTCTCTCCCGCTGGCGAGCATGGCGACCCACAAGCTGTCCTTCTCTGAGCGTCCTCACCAACCAGCTCTCTCTACATCACGCTTGTAACCATGCTGCCTTCCCAGCACCAAGCTGCATTGTACATCCAATACAACATGTATATAGAGAGCACATTGTGAGTTTCCTTTCTCCATCCCATCCTGAGTGTGAACCAAACAATCTCATACCCCACAAATGGTGACTCCCGGAGATTCGCACTCACACAGGATGGAGGAGAAACTGATCACGCTCCCAGTCTTCAAGCAACATGGAAGACTGGCTTATCCACACAGAAGCAGCTTTCATCGGCTCTACAGCTACTGTCTCTACACCGCAGGTTAGACACCCTAGAGCAGCACTGTTTCTCCTAGCAGACACCAGCTCCTTTTCCTGCCCCCAAGCACCACGTCCTACCGACCCCAGCACACCCGTCCTGCCTCAGACGCCGACCCCGGCCCAGCAGTAACCCCTGCCGCCCCTGATGCGGCCTCTGTTCCTGAGTGCGGACCCACACACCCCTCTTTTCTCCCTCAGGTACTCCCTGCTAATGTCCTGCACCCTGCTGCTGTCGTGGACCCAGCTGCTGTCACGAGCCCTCATCCGCTTCTGCTGACGCAGCCCCTGCTCCTGACCCAGGCCCACACACCCCAGCAGGCGCATCTGACGACTCTGTACCTACCGTGAGGGAAGCACAAAATTCATCGCCTCCACACACCCTTATTCTCCCTCTCTACTCCCACAGATATTGTGTATCTAGACAGTTGTCCCCAGCGACCGGCTCATCCACGCCATCGCCGTTGTCTCACATGAGGCACGCACCGCCCGTTCTGCCTCACATGTGCTATGCAACTCTGCAGACAACAAGTCTCCTACACAGCCTGGAGGGAAGGGGGAGTATTGTAGTGGAATTCTCCCCTACAAACGCTGTTTGTCGCTGCCTAGCCGACCCCACCAATTCCCCAGTGTATGCCTCGTGGTCTAGGTCAACCAGCGCCGCCATACACCACGGAGCGGGGGTCAACTGCTAAGCCACGCCTACCCCCGCTATTTAAGACCTGACCTCGTGGTGATCTGTCTCTCCTTCTACCTACACCAACCAGCCAGCAACACCTCCGCCTGCCTGGCGGTCCTCTCTCCCGCTGGCGAGCATGGCGACCCACAAGCTGTCCTTCTCTGAGCGTCCTCACCAACCAGCTCTCTCTACATCACGCTTGTAACCATGCTGCCTTCCCAGCACCAAGCTGCATTGTACATCCAATACAACATGTATATAGAGAGCACATTGTGAGTTTCCTTTCTCCATCCCATCCTGAGTGTGAACCAAACAATTTCATACCCCACAGTATATGGCATCACGACCAAGTCCCAGGTTGCTCATCTGACTTTCTGCCTCATTTACACACAATTGCAGGGTCTCAATTGTTTCTCTTCCTTTGACAACACAACATACATACAGTATGTCGCTACTCACTATTGACCTTTTTTAAATTTCAGTATTTACTTATGGTCTATTATTATAACCATAATTATTATTATATTTTCGCCCCAGGTGCCTTGTGGTGAATACTCTCCCCTACAACTGCTGGTTGGTCACTTGCCGTCCGCTTACCAGCCAATCAGCGGAGAGTCCCGAATGTGATGGGCCTCACTTTCGGACTGCCCGGTGATTGGCCCGTTACCGCCTTCACCTCAGCCAATCAGCAGCGCCGCTCACTTCACACACCTCAGCCCGATCCGGGAGGATCATATAAATACCCCCCCAGCCTCGCCGTGAAGATCTCATCTTCCCCGCTCTGCCTTTCGCTACCAACAACTTTTTGGAGCTTCTAAACTTGAACTGAACCGTGAAGGTCACGGCTTTAGAAGAGGTCGAGGAACCCAAACGGCAATAGCAATAATAACAGAAATCATAGCCAAAGAAAAACTTATCAATAGGCTTGACTTTCAAAGTTTCAATCAAAAAGAAAAACAAATTTATTAAGAATTCAAGATATTAACTAGAAACACTATTTACATGTATATCTAAAAAGTTCGATCTCAGCATATGAATTTTGTTTAAGCTCATAATCTGATGTGATCTAAATGATGATCCTACACCCTTTTAAAGTAAAGTTATATATTTATGTACATTAAAGAAAATGAATACCTTTTTATTACGAAAATGGATAAACCCACGTGATTGCTATTAAAATTAATTCTGCTCTTAATCTCACCAAAAACAGGTTGTAGCTATCGTTTTGCCAGAGCCTCTGTGCAGTTTTCAATCTAAAAACAAAATTTGATATAATTCAAAATTTCAAATGGTAAAGAAGAGACTATCGTCTACAAATTATAGTGCTATACTGTGCCCAAGCAAGCAATAAATTCATAATAATGCTTATAAAATGGAAATAAATTTTAATAATTCTAAGAAAATTAATGGGATTCAGTGGAATCACTGCAATGAATATGCCTGAGTTCATATATTTGTTCTAGGAACAGAATAGCTTTCAGTTGAGCCGAGTCTGGACACACTTAATACCCCACTCATTGCCGAATTCCTCCGACTCGATCTTGACCACCCACACAGCCCTGATAGTACTCCTGAATGTGCTGCTAAGGATCTGTTAACCAAAAATTTGATATCTTGATTATAACTTGTTCAAATAGCTTTTAGAAAATGTTCAAATGATTTTTGTGAATATTTTAATTCCTTTTGCAATGCTAATTACTTCCGCCACTTGTGGGTTTTCGA